AGCAGAGGATGCAGAGGAGAAGCGAGAGAACCCAAGGAAAAGCGCGAGAAGCCGCTTTCGACAGAATCCGATCCAAGCGATCTAGGCCGCATGATCGAAGATGTGACGGCCGAAAAAATTAGAGGTGACGTGGACGGTGGTTCTCTTGAGGAGCCCTATGGGTATTCTAGTGTCACCTACTCAGTGGCAAGATCCTTTTAGGGGTGTTTCATCAGGATTAATTGATGATGCAGGTGTCTGTGAATTCAATAACAAGATGAGCCTGCACATTTGAACAATAATGTAAGGAAGTATGCGAAGGGTATGGAGACTCATTTGTACAGGCCTCATGACATGGTCTATTTCTATCACACTTAAGTTGCACCTAGCAAACATGTGAAATATAGGAAGCCGTAACATAACAAATGGAATTAAAAGTTTATCATTTCCTAATTCCTGCTGGAAATCTAGAATTATCTAGCAGTGATTCATATATGTTTTAATGTTTAGAATCGCAAACAAGGCGCACATTAAATGAACCGTTTACCTTTTCTTGGGACGGGAAAGAACATTATCCACCCACCCTTCATAAAACATCCCATCAGGAATCCGTGACCTAACTAAATCTTAGATTGCTTGTGTACTTTTGAGGAGAATAACAGGAAATCTCCTATGTCTTCATCCCTAGGTCTCGTTAGTATTGAGAACGGTATTACCTGGATCGACGAAGTCGTGGAAGGTATTGAGTTCAGCTGCATCTGTGGAATGATTCTGCTGAGTTGGTTGGTGTTGTGGTCGCACCTTGGTAAGTGTTTGGTAAGTCCATCGGATTGGTTTCACGATTGGTGATTCTGTTTCCAACCTGTAGTTGCACGTAGATCACATATTAATTCTTATTACTGTATAAATGTGTGGGAAGGAACAAAGGGTTAGTTGGAAAAATGGTGCAACAAACAATGCAATTTTTCTTCTGAGAAGGATAACACCAATGTAAATCAATGAACCGATATCCATAGCTGCTGGAACAGTAAGGAGAAAAGAAAGGAAAAGAAATAAGAGGAGATGCCTAGCATTCATCCTGGAGGTTAAACAAACCCGAAAAATAGGAAAGGCCATCGTGGCCATTTCATGAAATTCGCATGCTTGGTAGCTGGACGCGAACAACACATCGAGCTGAATCCAAACAAAGGTGATATCGAAAAGAATCGTAATGCAATGTGCATGAATAGAAGCCACCAACCACTATGGTGGTTCAAGAAACCAGTTAACCAGTGTCGTCTATTATATTCTCCTGGATAGTTGATGTATATAGCATTCATGTATAAATAAAAATTAGAATTTTATGTAGCTTCACTCCAAAATTATGAACCTTCATTTTCTGAGGAAACTTTGTGCATTGTCATTCTATACGAACTACCTCAAAGGAACTCCAAAAATAGTTAAACCTAATTATTCTACTGATGTTGTAAACAGCGTAATAACTCATTTCTATGTATAAAAAAATAGAGGCTGTATGACAGGCTGTGCATATCACAATTACCAGATGGGACGAAGTCGCTGCGATGAACTGTAGAGAATAACCAGCAAGCGGCTTCAGGCTGTGACTAACAACCATGATGATCTTGTCCCCCAACCACAGGATTAGAAGATCAGATGGTATCCTTGGAAGCATCTAAAAATAATTTCAGTAATGATCATATGGGAAATACAGAACAGAAGCAATGCTACATTAATAGGAAATAATAGAGAGGTATTGCACAAATAAACATAGCATGCATCTACTCAAGTCTTGGTGAGAATACACGCTCATTCCATTGAAATCTGAGATAATACAGAGTAGGAAAAAAACGAAGGCATGTGCCTATACTTATAACTATTACAAAATAGCACCTATGGACGTAATTTCCTTTTTAAATCGTGGAGTAATCTATGGATATATATGGTTGTAAGAAGTAAATCTGTCTATAACAACTGCTTAGTGGTAAAAGGCCAAGGAAAGTAGCTTATTGTACATTGGCTGCTCAAGTCTTAGCAGTATAAAAGGGAATGATGCAATTAGCTAGAGTGTTTGTGGAACAAATGGATCATTACAAGCCCATAGGACAGAATTGGTTCATTTGCAAACATACGAACCCAAATATGTAAGAGTGCATTGTATAAGCTTGTCATGCAGCTTGGCCGATCCTACCGTCCTCATCATTTTTTATAGCAGGAAAAGATGTAGAAGACAACATATTGAATCTGTAGACACAGGGGCTGACCTTTTTCTTCACAGCACAGATAGTTAGAATAAGTTAGCAAAACATTAGTGATTACAAAGTTTATGATCAAAAAAGGGGGGAAATCGGGGTTGCAAAGAGTAGTGAACATATTTCCATTAATTATTATGCATTAGTTACATCTTGACAAATATCTGGTTATTAAGAAAATGCTCGGTTATGTTGTGTTAGGTCAGTCCATACATGTAAATGGCCTACCATAAGAACAGTGCTCTAGCTCAGTTCATACATGGAAAATATTTAAATTCAGATCATAAATGTAGGTTAAATATAAAATATCAGATGAGTAAATGGCCTGCCATAAGAATTAAAATGGCTGAAGGTGTGCATGAAAGAGAATCCTAATCCAGTCTGTATACATCAGAGACATATCCTGAAACTATTTGATGACTACATTGCCTGAAGCAACAACTGAAAAAGTTTTTTAAAAATATTTGGAAACATTGGGCGAAAGCTGTATTTACATGTATGGCAGTCTTAGAGTGATAACCCTGATTCGTTAGGATCATAAAGAAGCATTCAAGTATTTGAAATTTGGAAGGTGTCAATAGATCATGATGTAGGACATCCGATAAGAAGGATGGCAGTGATAGAGAACGAGCATTGCTACTTACCTCCCAACATAGCAGCCTCAAACCTACGAAGATCATCAGTATATATTCCCAAGTTACATGAGAGCTCATTTTCATCACAGGCAGTACTGAAAAAAAGACATCATCTGCACTGAGCATCAGGGGAAAATAGCAGTTTCGGCTTGAACAGAGCACTAAAATCTGGAAGAGATCTGAAGTGTGAAATATTATGTAGGAATCAAATTTGTATGACGAATATATTAGCATATCTAAGCCTTCTCAAAAACAAACCAAAGCTAAACATTATATAGTAGTATATAGCTATGCCCCAAAATAGCATTTTTGAGTGATGCAGGTTTGAGTGCATGGAAGAGGATTGGATTGTTGGCAGGGTGAAGTAGGCCATCATTGCATATACCAAAGTGACTTAGTTCACTAAGAATGCCAAAAAGGACCATATATATGTAATGGTCCATATCACTCCAGGTGCCAAATGCCTCATCTCAATAAAAACGGAATAAAAATATCATAAAAGACTGAGTAGTCATCTTAACATATGCCAATGGCTGATTTCAAATGAGGGTAAAAAGATACAAAAGAGTGATAATCATGACTATATATTCTCATATGTCATTGTTCCAAAGATATTCTTTCTATTATCATGGAAGCTAACAGCACCCTAATGGGTGTTACCTGCAAAATCAAAAGCACTATGTGGAAGGCGTATACACGCGTCATGGAAATGCAATAGCAGCCTCGGCATGGTACTGTACACTATAATTTGTCTCTAGTTTTAGAATTAATCCGAGAACTTATCTCACAATTTTGTTCCAGCATGGCACACTGAACTACAAAAGAATTAAAATTCGCCACACCACGTTTGAGCATTAGGGGCACAATTGAATCACACAATGAAAGTGCCAGAGTTGAGTACAGTCTCACCATTTATCCTTTTGGGCTGCAACAATTCTACAGAAGAGTTGTCAAGGCAGTAGTTCACCATGGCAGGCTACACCTAATTTTCTTCAAAAGCCTATAACGGTAAGCACTAAGACACTAAGAAGTAGCTGTGGTATTGATATTTATTTGAGAATCAGGTAAAGACAAAGCAGCAAGAGATGCAAGAAAGGAATGGTGCGAATACCTTCAGTTCAATAGTAATCTATAAATTTTTTTCCTTATAACCTGTAGAACCATACCTTCAGTTCAATAGAGGAAGAAAATCCATCTATTAGCTCCCAGCACTTAAAAACTGCATAACACAAAGCAAAGCATCCAATTGCTACCTTCGCAGTTTTAGCAGAGGAAATAACATTGTGGTGCAGTGGTGGACATGATGTTGCTGATAAATTATCTTTGTAACTTATTGCCATCATGATCGAGCCAATTCCAAATGTGTTTTGAGACAAGAGTACAATGAAACAGCGACATCGTTAAGTGTATCGAGAAGTTACCAGCTTCTGAGAAGTCAAACAACGGTTGCAGTGGCCGTCCACTTGGCAAGCAGACCGTGGGATCCCGTATCTCATCAAAGAGGTATATAGCCGGAGAAGTCTAGTAAGAAGTATATGTAGGAAATCAACATGAAAGGAGAGAAGGATTAGATTTTGTTTAATATGGACAGACATCATGGATTATTAACTATCATCAGCACTTAAAAAAAGCAGGATACACATTTTTTCATTGTAGGAAAAATTAGCTGTTAAAAAATCATGGCCACCATGTTTGAACAGCAAATTTACAGCTGCTTGGAAAATGGATCTAACCACTACATTATTTCATATAAGAACTGAAACCTTAATTTTTTTGTTTGGATGTTGGGATATAGGGGGTAGGATAGGAAAAGGGAAATGAATGAATGGCTAGGATTAAATGAGGTATGAAGAACGGATGGCTAGGATTTAATATTTCCTAACCCAATCCCCATCCGTATCCCTATCCAAACGTACATATTTAGGTTGGGATTTATTTTCCTGTGAGATAACCACCACTTTATTTCATATAAGGTAAAGTAACTGTAGGCCTAGCCTTGAAGAAGCATGTACTCAATTTGTACTGATACAAACATGAGATCTAATTACCAAATTCTAAATTCCATTCACCTGGTGAAAGCACGTCATGCAATAGAGTCTCCAACTTTAGAACAAGAGGCAGCACAATTGAGGGAGACTTACTGAGTTGCATTGGAACCTACAGTTTGTATCTGTCCCTGCAATATATTTATATAAAAACAAATTAGGTAAAGCATTAGAAAATGTAGTTCTCAACTGCCATAGAAATTGTTTTGAGGATCTGCTGCTCTAAAAAAACGCGAGGAAGAGAGGATCTAGGGGAGGAGCTATGGGACGAAGGAGGAGAAGAAGAGGGTGAGTCACCGTGAGATCCAGCTGCCGAGCTTTGTCGCCGCCGCCGCCGTTGCCACCGCAGCCGGCGATGAAGAGGGTAACCGCCACCGCCGCACAGGCACCTAGGGTTTCTTCAAGCAGAGGAGTACAAGCTCCCCAGCGAGAAGAGGCGTTGAGGAGCCCGCATGGAGGATGGGGGAGAGGGAGGGGGCCGCCGAAACCCTGCCGGGCCGGCACACCGCCCGCAGGGGCGCCGTCACCTGGCGCCCGGCGCCGCCTCACGCCCACCGCCGCCTCGGCAGGGAAGGGGAGAGAGAGACGAAGGGGAGGGAGAAACAAAGGTGAGAGGCATGCGAGGGAGGGCGAAGGAGGAGGAGAAGGAAGAGGAGGACGCCCGTCGTCGCTGCACCCGACGCTGTCGCCCGTGCTCGCGTCAAGACGGAGAGGGAGAGATTGATGGGGAGAAAGAGAGGAGGGAGCCAAAAGAATCTGGAACAAGAAGCGGGGTAGTATATATTTGGTTCTCCGGATTCAGACGAGAAGTGGGAGAAGTAGAGGAGAAACGAGAGAAGCTAACCAGAAGCGGGTGCAGGCGAGAATCCGCTTCGAGCGATCTGGACCATGAAACGCGAGATCGAACAGCCGGGGGAATTTGGAGCGACATGGGCAGTGGTTACTTGGAGGAACCCAACGGCTACACCAAATTTTCTTCAAAAGCCTATAACTGCAAGCACTAAGACACTAAGAAGTAGCTGTGGTATTGATATTTATTCGAGAATCAGGTAAAGACAAAGCAGCAAGAGATGCAAGAAAGGAATGGTGCGAATACCTTCAGTTCAATAGTAATCTGTAATTTTTTCCTTATAACCTACCTATAGAACCATACCTTCAGTTCAATAGAGGAAGAAAATCCATCTATTAGCTCCCAGCACTTAAAAACTGCATAATACAAAGCAAAGCATCCAATTGCTACCTTCACAGTTTTAGAAGAGGAAATAACATTGTGGTGCAGTGGTGGACTTGATGTTGCTGATAAATTATCTTTGTAACTTATTGACATCATGATCAAGCCAATTCCAAATGTGTTTTGAGACAAGAGTACAATGAAACAACGACATCGTTAAGTGTATCGAGAAGTTACCCGCTTCTGAGAAGTCAAACAACGGTGGCAGTGGCTGTCCACTTGGCAAGCAGACCTTGGGATCCCGCATCTCATCAAAGAGGTATATAGCCGGAGAAGTCTAGTAAGAAGTATATGTAGGAAATCAACATGAAATGAGAGAAGGTTTAGATTTTGTTTAATATGGACAGACATCATGGATTATTAACTATCATCAGCACTTAAAAAAAGCAGGATACACATTTTTTCATTGTAGGAAAAATTAGCTGTTAAAAAATCATGGCCACCATGTTTGGACAGCAAATTTACAGCTGCTTGGAAAATGGATCTAACCACTACATTATTTCATATAAGAACTAAAACCTTAATTTTTTTGTTTGGATGTTGGGATATAGGGGGTAGGATAGGGAAAGGGAAATGAATGAATGGCTAGGATTAAATGAGGTATGAAGAACGGATGGCTAGGATTTAATATTTCCTATCCCAATCCCCATCAGTATCCCTATCCAAATGTACATGTTGAGGTTTGGATTTATTTTCCTGTGAGATAACCACCACTTTATTTCATATAAGGTAAAGTAACTGCAGGCCTGGCCTTAAAGAAGCAGGTACTCAATTTGTACTGATACAAACATGAGATCTAACTACCAAATTCTAAATTCCATTCACCTGGTGAAAACACATCATGCAATAGAGTCTCCAACTTTAGAACAAGAGGCAGCATAGTTGAAGGAAACTTACTGAGTTGCATTGGAACCTACAGTTTGTATCTGTCCCTGCAATATATTTATATAAAAACAAATTAGGTAAAGCATTAGAAAATGTAGTTCTCAACGGCCATAGAAATTGTTTTGAGGATCTGCTGCTCTAAAAAACCCCGAGGGAGAGAGGATCTAGGGGAGGAGCTATGGGACGAAGGAGGAGAAGAAGAGGGTGAGTCACCGTGAGAGCCAGCTGTCGAGCTTCGCCACCGCCACCGCCGTTTCCACCACAGCTGGCGACGAAGAGGGTAGCCGCCGCCGTCGCACAGGCACCTAGGGTTTCTTCGGGCAGAGGAACACAAGCTCCCCAGTGGGAAGAGGCATTGAGGAGCCTGCATGGAGGATGGGGGAGAGGGAGGGGGGCATCGAGCCCCTACCGAGCCGGCGCACCACCCGCAGGGGCGCTGTCACCTGGCGCCCGGCGCCGCCTCGCGCCCACCGCTGCCTCGGGAGGGAAGGGAAGAGAGAGAGAGGAAGGGGAGGGAGAAACAAAGGTGAGAGGCAGGCAAGGGAGGGCGGAGGAGGAGGAGGAGGAGGAGGAGGGCGTCCGCCATCGCTGCACCCGCCGACGTCGCCCATGCTCGCATCGGGACGGAGAGGGAGAGACCGATGGGGAGAAAGAGAGGAGGGAGCCGAAGAATTTGGAACGAGAAGCGGGGTAGTATATATTTGATTCTCCGGATTCAGACGAGAAGCGGGAGAAGTAGAGGAGAAACGAGAGAAGCTAACCAGAAGCAGGAGAAGCGGGAGCAGGAGAGAATCCGCTTTGAGCGATCTGGTCCGTGAAACGCGAGATCGAACGGCCGGGGGAATTTGGAGCGACGTGGGCAGTGGTTCCTTGGAGGAGCCCTACGGCTACACCTAATTTTCTTCAAAAGCCTATAACTGCAAGCGCTAAGACACTAAGAACTAGCTGTGGTATTGATATTTATTTGAGAATCAGGTAAAGACAAAGCAGCAAGAGATGCAAGAAAGGAATGGTGCGAATACCTTCAGTTCAATAGTAATCTGATTTTTTTTTCCTTATAACCTGTAGAACCATAACTTCAGTTCAATAGAGGAAGAAAATCCATCTATTAGCTCCCAGCACTTAAAAAGTGCATAATACAAAGCAAAGCATCCAATTGCTACCTTCACAGTTTTAGTAGAGGAAATAACATTGTGGTGCAATGGTGGACTTGATGTTGCTGATAAATTATCTTTGTAACATATTGCCATCATGATCGAGCCGATTCCAAATGTGTTTGGAGACAAGAGTACAATGAAACAACGACATCGTTAAGTGTATCGAGAAGTTACCCGCTTCTGAGAAGTCAAACAACGGTGGTAGTGGCCATCCACTTGGCAAGCAGACCTTGGGATCCCGCATCTCATCAAAGAGGTATATAGCCGGAGAAGTCTAGTAAGAAGTATATGTAGGAAATCAACATGAAAGGAGAGAAGGTTTAGATTTTGTTTAAAATGGACAGACATCATGGATTATTAACTATCATCAGCACTTAAAAAAAGCTGGATACACATTTTTTCATTGTAGGAAAAATTAGCTGTTAAAAAATCATGGCCACCATGTTTGGACAGCAAATTTACAGCTGCTTGGAAAATGGATCTAACCAGTACATTATTTCATATAAGAACTGAAACCTTAATTTTTTTGTTTGGATGTTGGGATATAGGGGGTAGGATAGGGAAAGGGAAGTAAATGAATGGCTAGGATTAAATGAGGTATGAAGAACGGATGGCTAGGATTTAATATTTCCTATCCCAATCCCCATCAGTATCCCTATCCAAACGTACATGTTTTGGTTGGGATTTATTTCCCTGTGAGATAACCACCACTTTATTTCAATAAGGTAAAGTAATTGCAGGCCTGGCCTTGAAGAAGCAGGTACTCAATTTGTACTCATACAAACTGTGCATGAGATCTAATTACCAAATTCTAAATTCCATTCACCCGGTGAAAACACATCATGCAATAGAGACTCCAACTTTAGAACAAGAGGCAGCACAGTTGAGGTAAACTTACTGAGTTGCATTGGAACCTACAGTGTGTATCTGTCCCTGCAATATATTTATATAAATACAAATTAGGTAAAGCATTAGAAAATGTAGTTCTCAACAGCCATAGAAATTGTTTTGAGGATGTGCTGCTCTAAAAAACGCGAGGGAGAGAGGATCTAGGGGAGGAGCTATGGGACGAAGGAGGAGAAGAAGAGGGTGAGTCACCGTGAGATCCAGCTGCCGAGCTTTGCCACCGCCGCCGCCGTTGCCACCGCAGCCGACGACGAAGAGGGTAGCCGCCACCGCCGCACAGGCACCTAGGGTTTCTTCGAGCAGAGGAGCACAAGCTCCCAGCAGGAAGAGGCGTTGAGGAGCCCGCATAGAGGATTGGGGAGTGGGAGGGGCCGCCGAGCCCCTGCCGGGCCGGCGCACCGCCTGCAGGGGCGTCATCAGCTGGCGCCCGGCGCCATGTCGCGCCCACCGCCGCCTTGGGAGGGAAGGGGAGAGAGAGAGGAAGGGGAGGGAGAAACAAAGGTGAGAGGCAGGCGAGGGAGGGCGGAGGAGGAGGAGGAAGCCGCACCCGGAGCCGTCACCCGTGCGCGCGTCGGGACGGAGAGGGAGAGACGGATGGGGAGAAAGAGAGGAGGGAGCCAAAAGAATCTGGAACGAGAAGCGGGGTAGTATATATTTGGTTCTCCGGATTCAGACGAGAAGCGGGCGAAGTAGAGGAGAAACGAGAGAAGCTAAACAAAAGCGGGTGCAGGCGAGAATCCGCTTCGAGCGATCTGGACCGTGAAACGCGAGATCGAACGGCCGGGGGAATTTGGAGCGATGTGGGCAGTGGTTCCTTGGAGGAGCCCTATGGGTATTCTAGGGGTTGATATGTCTGTTACTCACCCGAGTGAGCGGTCACTCGAATTTTTCTATCCTCCCGATGACACTGTTCATCTTCCTCCTCCCGATGCCCACCGCCACGCCCGTGGCTGCCTCCCTCTCCCCCACCCCCCACCCCTTCCCACCACTGCCGCCATCTTCTTCGACTCCGGCGAGCCTCCCCTGCCCAAACTTGGCCCGGCTGCCACTACCACCGCCAGCTTCCCTAAACCGCCCGGCCACCATTCTCATCGTCTGGCCTGCCTGCCTCCCCCGTCCGGCGTCTTCTATGCCCGCCGGAGTTGGAGAAGAAAGAGGGGAGAGGCTCGCCAGAACCCTATACACCGCCACTGTCTCTTCATCTTCGGTGGGGGGCCAGGGTCGCTGGACTTGGAGAAGAAACAGGGGGGAGAGGCCAGATCTAGAGAGGAGAAAATTCGAGTGATTGATTCCTCCAAATCACACGAGTGAGGGATAGCTTTTATTTACCATAAAGAAAACAAAAATCTGTTGAAAGCGCATGGCAACACGGATCACGTAGCTTTTTTTCATCAGTTACAAGTAAAAGAAGCTTTCATCGATGACAACATCAAGAAAATCCCAAACTTTCATCAGATTTCAGCAGCTGGATACACAGCGCTGGCAATCAGCTACAGAAAAAACGTACTCCTACAGGACAAACACAGGCATGCGAACAGCAAGCGATTAGTCAATTGCTAGCTACAGATGAACATCTTTCAACGGTTCAAGAGCAGCATGTGACCTGCTAATCCAGGGGATAAATCCTGGGTCGATATTCTCCAGCTAAAGCTCCAATTATTCCAGGTATATACAATGTTCTAGTCAAATCCAGGACAGTACAGCTACGGTGCCATTAGACATTAGTGGATAAATGATACACGTTGCTACATAGTACATACACTACTCCGGTTACTCCTAACACAGATGACAAGTCACAAGACTGCTGGTAAGCTACAATAGATAGCATCAATCGTTGCTTGATGGTTGCGGGTCGTTGCTTGATGTTGCGGCTTCTAGGTCACGTCAGACGCTTAGCTTTACCTTCACGACTTCAGAGTTATGCTGCAGGATCCTAGATACTGGGTTAGTGCCAGCGTGGAGCTGAGGCCCTGCAAAAGACATGGTGTGAGTCGGAATGCATAGAAATGCACAAGAGAAGATTAACGGCAAAGTGAAAACGTGGAGACAGGTCCTGGTAGCTCCCTATCGATAGATAGCTTACTTTGGCTTTCTTCCACCAACAGGTGAACTGTTGACATTCGGTTTCTTCTCAGTGCAATATGGTCGGCCCGGTGGCAGAGGCGGAGGTGGAGGCGGAGGCGGAAGCTGGACGATCAGGTGAGCATTAGTAAATTATAGGTTCAGGTTATAGACTTCAGAATTGTAAGAGACGTCATGAATGCTTCTTTGTTTTGCGAAGCAGAATGGCTGTTATGCACAGAAAAGGGTAAAAGCTCATACCACAGGAGCCTTTGTCTTTACATTTCCGGTCTGTGAAGGGGTCGCATTATTTGATTTGTATGCATGAGCCCGAACTCCCTCCTGCAAGCCCAATAAATTGATAATTATTGGTAAATAAGCCTACTAGTGAAGAGTTTCAGTATCTTCATTTTTTTTTTTGATTGAAATAGAGTAGTTTCATTATCTCATTTCAGAACTCCGATCCAGTGTCTCCAATAAAAATAATTACAGGTTTCACTCACTTAAGCTAACCAACTGCCAGCTTTGGACCCGAAGGGACCAATTCTTGTCAGGCTATTGGTTTCTATGCAATTAACCTACCCGAAATTTCTACATGTTTCAATAGATGTTGATTACATTTAGGGAAGCATCACTGTATTCGGGATGAAAAGGTCAGGGTTTTGAAACGCAGAACTAGACAGTTCATGTTTACCAGCCAGTTACTAGCAGTTGTCATAACCATGGTTTAGTACTATCAAGAGATCCCATGCATGGAAGGTTCTAGACTTGAGAGTAAAGCTGGAAACAACAATTCCACAACCCATAATTAGGGGTACACCAGTTTTCAGTATGAGCCTATTCTTTGTATAATGTAATGTCATCAGTTCAACCTTTGCTCTAGGGCTTTTTTGTGAAAAAGAGAAGCTAACTTATACAGTTATAGTCAGTTTATCAGTAATGTATATAGAAGCATTTAGGATACCGACAAAACAAATAATATTGTTAGCCACTGAAGACCCACATGTAGCGGACCAGCAGCACGAAAGGAAAAAAAGCTTCTCACCTCCTTGTTTGGCTTTTTGAATTTTTCAAGACCTTGATCATCTCTAACATTGGAAGTCAACATTTTCCTTGAAGGCAGGTTAAAAGGACTGAAAAATAAGACAAGGCGGTTAGAGCAATAGAATTAACCCAATTTGAAATCCAAAGAACTCCAGGTCCCTAGTAGAATTATTCTGAAAAGAGCTCCATGGTAGAATTAACACCTTGACTTTTGCTTTCTATCCACTTGAAATTCCACTGTTTCTTTTGCATAACTGCCAAAGAACACAAAAAAAAGGCAGTCAAATCTCAGTGCAAGTTATTTAGTCGAGTATCCCTGAAAAAGTTAGCTACAACCACCTTAGGTTTTCTAGCTTGCTACTTCTAACAACCCTGGGAGTTATTGCCTTTTGGGGAATAACCTGCATGAAGAACAGAGGGGAAACAAGCATTCAAATGAGAAAATATATTGTCTTTTAAATTATCTATCTTAATCTCTTTCTGCATTTTAGAATAGAATTAATACATTTATGTGATATGTTAAGAGAATGGGTTGCAACGTACTTCTGTGACCATAGCACCCTTCGAATAGTTCGGCATTGCTCTTGACCAGACTGTAGTGCCATTGGTGATAGGGCATCTTCCTCCTGTAGAAGGGCGCTCTGGGGTGGAAATGACACTTTTTTTGGTGAGGCATCTATCTGGCGTCAAAGGCAAACGTGAGTTGGCAACATTAGTTTGCTTCAGTACAGTCTCTCTGGTAACAGGACGTCTCTCAGCGGTAGAAGGCCTCTGTGCTGGTGCATGCTTCAGTTCAACATTTCTAGCAATGGGGCGCCTCTCTGCAGTAGAAGATCTGTGTGGCAGACCATTCTTTGGTGCAACATCTCTAGCAATGGGGCGCCTCTCGGCAGTAGAAGAACGGCTCAGGGTGACAACATCAGCATGCTTATGTGCACCCTCTCCAGTGATAGGACACTGTTTGACAACAGATGGCAGACATGAGGTAGCAATACCAATATGCTTCGATGCCATATCTCTGGCACTAGTGTGCCTTTGACCAGTAGAAGGCCTATGTGGGCTAGCAACATTGAAATGCTTTGGAGCTGACTCTTTGGATATAGGGCGCCTGTAAGCAGTAGAAGGTCGATGTGGGGCAGCAATGTTGGATAGCTTTGGTGTTGAATCTTGGGTGACAGGGCGCCTGTCGGCAGTAGAAGGCCGGCGTGGAGTAGCAATGTTGCATTGCTTTGTTGCTGATTCTTTGGCGATAGGGCACCTGTGAGCGGTAGAAGGTCGACATGGGATAGCACTGTTGCCATGCTTTAGCGCCGAATCTCTGATGGCCGTGCGTCTTTCAGAAGTTGATGGACGGCATGGAGTGGTAACTTCAGCATGCTTCCTTGAAGCATCTTTTGTGACAGGTCGCCGCTCTCTGGTAGAGGGCCGTTGTAATGCTGCTGAGGAAGGTCTTCTTAAACCTGTAATACCACTTCTAGCAGCGGTGCCAACTAAATCGCTGGTTGCTTCTCTTGGCCTTCGCAATGACAGGATATTTTCCGGTTTTGCCATCTGGTTTATCACACTGGGCTCGCCTGAACAGGGTCCCTGAAAATATTCATGAAAAATAGCTTATATCTTCATGAAAAATGTACAGGTTTTGGGCTACATAATAAAACACATAATATATGTCTATGGCTAAAATAGCAGGAAACTAAAGAAATCAATCTAGCCATCTAGGCATGCATCAAGGTAATTCAAATAGATAGGGCATAGCTTATGAATTCTAGTTCTGAAGTTCCATAAAAAAAATAAGGCATTTATTTCCTGTCTTGCAACACTAAGCCAGGTCCAGGACAATAGTCAACTTATTAGAAAAGAGTGCACATACAGATTGCAACAATGAACAAGATGGAAACATGTCCAAAGTCAATGTGTGAATACCTTGGAAACATTTGTGTGATCAGAAACATTACTAGAAATCATCTTGACAGTCTTCGGAATTAGTTTTGACGCCTGACCAACCCGAGAGTCTTTCTCAATTGTTCTCTTATTAGGAGTGATCATAGTCTCATGGACCATAGGATCATCTTGGCTGGAATTAGCATCTTGCACCAATATATCCATTTTGCCACTAACGCTTCCTCTCATTTGTTTGCCAATTTGCTGCAAATCACCAACTGGTGAAGAATGGGTTGATGCAGAAATTTCATTCACTAAACTACCATTCTCATGATAACCGTAGCATTCCATTCCATGCTCAATTGTGGTTGCAGCTGTTGTCTGCTTTGTGGAATCATCAACGAGTGTTTCAGATTCAGTAGGAGCTCCGTGGGCTGCTTCATATTCTCCTGTTTGACTAGAATCGCTGCCATCACCATTGTACTCCAGATGAAGTTCAGTTTGCTGGTTCTGTTGCTGTAAAGCCTTGAGCTCCCTAATCCTCTTAAAGTATTCTTCAAAGTATGCCTTCTTCTTCGCAACTAATCCATTGAACTTTCCAAACTCTTCATGACGCCTGTCATTGGTAAATACAGACCACTTCTCCCATTCTAATGATTCCAAGTCAAATCTTCCAAAAGATATGGAACCATGACCAAACATTTGTGATGTTCCCTGAAGGAAGAAATAGGACATATAGTAAAGAAGTGTGAGAATATCAACAGATGATAATGATTACTTAGAAAGAATGCGATGATTCTTCACTTATAGAAAGGTTGCCGGCTTCCAAGATACCAGGGGTGGATACCATGTATTATGGAAGAGTACTCATTATGGAATTTTAGCAACTTCTATTACACTGGCACATAGGTTCACAGTTATCATTAGGTGTTGGCTTGAATCGATTTATTCTAATGGCAATGAAAAAAGGTTCAACAGACAGACATGTGCCTAATAGTGGCCATAGATATTCTAACAATTTTTATCACTTCAGGTAAATTGCTTGACTGTACATTGTACGTGGCAATAAAATGAATGATGAAAGAGAGATAACCTGTGAAAGATCTTGCACAGAAGTTTCCTCCTGTGACCATGCAAAAAAGTTTTGATTGACCTCAGTTGCCATCTTGTAGTGTGTACCTAATTCATTATTGTTGCGCAAACTTTACTCGTAAACCCTGCAAAGTAACAAGAGAAATTCATATATAGAGCCACAATTGAGGTTTCATTTTGACAGACAGGCAGAACAGTACTTAACAAAGATGTTCAGTGCGTGCTTTCAGGCAATCCTTGGTCAAACAATTTAATCTAGGTACACAGGAAAATCTCTGAATGCAACCTATAACCCTGGTGCGAGCCCAACTTTGATGTCACCGTGCAAGAACAAGCAGTGTCTCGCAAGGAAAAATGGAATCCTTGCATAGCTATTTCAATAGGACGGACAGAGCTCATAAATGCTGTCAAGACGCACTGACAATGATGCAAGCTTCTAAGGTACACTGTTTAGAAATCAATAATTTTCCATCACTGCGAAATAATACATGATAGGGTCAGGGACTCATGATAGATTCCAAATTTTCTAACCGAACATGGGACCATTGGAATCAGTCGTGCCTCACCAAACCTCAGAAATCAACACTTCACCTACACGATGTTCTACTATTGTAGCACTATATCGGCCTGTTCGCTGGTTGGTTTATGAGTTGGTTTGGGCTGGCTGGTGCTGGTTTGTTGTGAGAGGAAAACACTGTTGGCTGGCTGGTTTGGGGTTGAAACCAACAAGCGAACAGGTGTATATGACAATCAGTTAAACCAGTGAATATCTATAGTACGTACCACGTGATGCGGAGTAACTAGGACAGCATGGGACAGCAACATTGCAAGGTGGGGAAAAGAATAAAAACACATAAAAATTAGATTTGTATCATGCGAAGGTATACAAGCTAATTGGTAAATTTAAACGTCTGGCAGATTGAACGGGTGTTCCAGCAACAACAAAAAAAGAAAGAAAGAAAGAAACTGCAAAGAACTAGTACAACTGAAGCTGCAAAGACCTCAAACTGCAATAGTGAAACCTCGGAACCTTTTGGGCGTGTGGAATCAGGGAAAGAGAACACCAGAAGAAAAGCCACAGCAGCACAGCTTGTAAAATAGTCTTCAAAACAGATACGGTTCAAAATTCACGCCCATACTATGTTTTTGTCATCATTAGTAGCAAAACAATTTGGAAAGAACATGAAAACATGAGAAAGTACCAAACCCAGAACAAAAAACAAATCTTTCCAAAAAACGCAAACACCTTCACAGGGAAGAGAAAATAGCAAAATAGCAAGGAAAAGCAAAAGAACAGCAACGATGGGGATTCAAGTAACGCGGTCCAGGGCACATGAAATTGCAGGCGAATCCAGCGGCATTGCGGAATTCCTCACCGCTACCAGCACCTAACCACCGCCAACCTCGCGAGGCGGCATCTCCCGCACGACTCTGCCCTCAGAGTCAGAGAGACCGACCAAGAAGTCGGGAACAGCATCGGTTCCCCACTCCCAAACCCAACCAAGAACCCAGACAGGAGCGGGCAGGCCAAAACCACCCATACCTGGAACCGCTGATCACCATCCGGCCGCCGACGCACGGGATCCGGCGAGGCGCGGCGCCGCGCGTCCCTCTCCCCCAGATCCAGGCATGAGCCGAAACAGCCCGGTCGCGGCCTCCTGCAGCCCCTGCCTGTGCCCGTGGAGCTTTCCACCCGCTGCCGCTGATTCCTTCCTCGCTACGGGGATTCCTTCCGTGCTCGCGCCCAGCACGCCGGATTAGGGTCCGGGTTGGCGAGGCGGTGTGAGCGTGAAGCCACTACTGGCCACGCACTGCGCTTTAGTCGGAGTGGGGAGGGAGCGCCGAGCAGAAGAGAAAGGATTTTTAAAAAAGGCGTTATGAGAGGAATATATTTGTTCACAAAAGGCAAATCATAAAGATATTTTCTATGCAGTTTTTTAATTGTATAAACACTGAACATCTCACACATACACACCACTCATCTATACAAGATCGACGGTTTTCTTTTACCGGTAGCAAAAAACCACCGGACAACACCAATAGACCAAAATAGGACCTGTTTGATACGCATAGTTATTACTTTAATAGTTGGAGCTAAAAATTAGCTTAACATTATTTAAAGACTTGACTAAGAAATTAGTCCGTTTATTAATCCTCATGTTTAAATGTGCGAGAGCTAATTTTAGATAATTTTTACCTAGCTAGTACTTAGTCCGAACCTGCTCTTATAATAGGACTTGTCGTAAAATTTTACTGTCAAGATAAAAGAATGACTCGGTTTCTCTAAAATAGAAAAGTGTACAAACTGTCCTAAAATATTTAAACTGAAACATAATAACGTTGATAGATAAACTTCACCGGATCCAATACGCTTAAAATGGAATAAGGAGATAATGTGGCAACAAAACAAACAAATTTTATCATAAAACATATTTCCTTATATTAAAAAACCACAATAAAAGGGCAGCAGCTTGAAGACCTTACACACTTTTATTTAATGAACTCTCTACTTTTTTTTTTGTTCTACTAGTAAATATGCACATGCGACACCCACATGTTTATAAAATCTATTTCAAATGCAATGGAAATGTTAATTGAATTATCGATATACAATGAAGGTAGATAAAGTACTTGATCAATTTGATCAGTCGTGTAGGAACAAGGTTCAAATCATTTGTTCGTTAGAAAGTCTTGGCAGGACAACAAAACGTTAAGAAAGAGTTTGAGGTACAACATAATAATAAAAATAATAGATGTGTTTTTCAACGATTAAATATTGGATCCCTCAATCGACCGTCATCTTTTATATTTATATACAGGACGACTGGTCTTTTTCTTTACATATAAATTTCAAAACAGCCGAACCTCTCGTTAACAGATATAGGGACAATCATCTATTCATGTTATCCTTTGTTTCTTTGTTTCTTTGTTTCCTGATGAACACATGTTGTTCCTCAAAAAAAATACTTGAACACATGTTGGTAGCTTACTACGTGTATTTGTGAAGAGGTTTCGGTTAGGTCCATCAACTTTCAAGTGGCTTTTTGGGTCCATAAACTTTGTATGCCGTATCACTTAGGTCTATATCCCGCCACGTGGGCTTCTCATGCTGACGTGGCCTGATGACATGTCCTTCTGAAACGGCTCTTGGCAATGCATTTTCCCAAATAGCTGTCCGCGGTCGTCTACGCACCCGGCGCCTTCTTCCGGTACCGCGTCACACACAGCGCGCGGCGTGTTCTCAGCTCTGCCGGTCAAGGCTTTCACGAAGCCGCGGGCTCGTCGCGCAGCCTCCCGGTTGCCCCCGACCAACCGCGAGACGCACCTCGACAGGCTGGCATCAAGGTACGACGACGACAGGGATGGCGAGGATGGAGAGCCGTCATCGCGGCTGGGCAACGTGGACGTGCTCGTGACAGCGGCGGGCGTGGGTACGTCGTCGGAGCCTCCGCTGGCGACGGCGAACACGGTCCTATCGGTGCTCGCGGCGGACTACCCGGCGCGGAGGCTGACCTACTACGTCTCCGACGACGGCGCGGACATGATGCTGTTCGAGGTCGCCGGGTTCGCGTGGCGGTGGGTGTCGCTCGCGGCCACGCAGCGATTGGAGTCGAGGGCGCTGAGCTCTACTTTTTGCTCATGGCGTCGACTACCTCGGTGATGTGGCCTCATTGTCATTCGTCAAGGAACGCCGTGCCATGAAGGTCATCGATCACTCATCGCTCATAGGTCGCCAGAAGAGATTGACCCTGTGTGATCGTGAGTAATTGGTTGTGTTGCGCAGGGCGACGAGAGAGCTGAAGGTCGATGAACTACCTCGCCACGGCGCGCGAGAAGGTGCCGGAGGACGTGGGTCATGGTCATGTCGGACACGCGCGCGGGCCCGGAAACAACACGAGAGACCATCCCGCCATGATACAGGTCAAGAGTTCAAGACTCTTTGCACAAAGGCACCTCACCCCAACGTGCCAACGCAATGAGACATCCGATGGAGTTTGATTCATGGTGTCCGTGTTCTTCTTGGGCACCCCGCGATCGAGGACGCCATGGGAACGAGCTGCCTCTACCGTTTCTACATGTCGCGGGAGAAGAAGCCGGGTTCCAAATCACACGAAAGTCGGCGCCCTCAACGCCTCGTTGCCGTCGTGGGTCTGTTTTGGTTTGCAACTCGCGATGGTTTTCGAGTTGTTTGTTCGCTAGCTCGGGTGTCCGCTCTGGCGACGAACGGCTCGTCGCGTGCTCAACTCGGACCACGACCATCGTGACGCCATACAATGCCGGCGTCCGAGGGAGGCAATGTGCTTCCTCATGGACCACGAGGCCGGAACAAGACGTGCTTCGCCTAGTTCCCGCTGAGGATCGGCGTCGAGGACGACGGTGGCGAAGCGGCATGCCACTCGCGACTGCCTTCTTCGACGTAAGCGATCAAAGCTTTACTTGCACACCGCAGCACCGTCCGCCATCGCTTCTCCGAGTCGCGTAAACACCAACACCCGATTTTGTGGACGCACGCCGGGTTCGGATCGACATGAAGTGCCCGGACGGCGCCCGGGACCAAAGATGTCGTCGGCTCCCGCTGCTGCTTCAACAGGAAGGCGATGTACAGGTTCGATCCCGCGTTCTCTGAAGACGACGATGAGGACGCGCCGGTGCACCGGAGCAGGTGGTGGCGGTTCGGGAAGGTGAAGAAGCGAAGCGTTGAGGAGGACCATGTCCACCGTGTGCCTCGCTTGACTTGGAGGACACCGACAAGTCGACCGGGCAGCACGCCGGTGCTCACCGCCGAGTCCTAACGGCCGGCATTGCGGTGAAGAAGGCGGAGGTTGCGTTCCTACCGCGACGCGTTGGAGCGGCACTTCGGCCATTCACCAGAGTTCATCGCGTCAGCGTTCACGAGCCAAGTGCACGGCGTCGGCGGCGGCGACTCGTCCACGGCCTCAGATGCTTCTTCTCTCCTCAGGGAGGCGATCCACGTCGTCAGCAGCTGCGCATACAAGGAGCGGACTAGGTGGGGCTAAGACATTGGCTGGATGTACGGTTCCGGTGGCGGCGGCGTGGTCACGGGGTTTAGGA